TGCCAGCAGCCTTAAACATTTTATCATATGCTAGCAGGAACAGAAAATGGAAAAGAGGAGAAACAATATAAAACAAACCTATATTTTACTATACAAACTACACACACTAAAAATGTCACAAGTAAAAACCTTCAAAAGTTTTCATTGTCTGCAATTGTACGCGCTATCACAAGTGCACGTTTATCTCTTACATAAATACACATTGTTGTACCATAATTACTCCTTTATGTTATAAAGGGATGCATTCAATTCCACAACATACATAATTCACTTTAGGATAAATATCGATTTGTTTATTTCCACAACAGAAGCGAAATGCAAGATTCCAACAAAAATATATCCAAAGAACTAGTTATCCATCTCCTAGTAAATGCACTTCAAGATAAAGTGTTTGGGAAACTCTTGCTTGGTGCGCACATTTACATCACAAGCACAGAATCTGGATTTATGTATCCTCATGTCTTATCTTTGGATAAGGAAAAAAAAAAGGCTGCAAGTACTCTTCAATCTGCACTCTGAGCCAAGACTTGACTAAAGAAAACCACTATATCGATGCAGACCCTCCCAGCTAGTACTCGCTGTGGACACATTACACTCAATATTGCTACCCTGCTCTAGCTTACGTAGTACCTTGTCTACTAACAAGACAGCAAAGTCTCATCACCAGACATTTCCAACACAGCTCTTTCACTAACAAAATTTACAACCTTCTGTGTATTTTAAGCAGATTTCAGGTACACTTGAGTATCTAACACAGCCAGCCTAATTGGTACCATGGAATGAAAAAGACCACAACTGATGTAGTTTCAGAAAGTTACACACTTATCCAGTGCAAATCAATTCCAGAAAAGCTGAGTTTGTCATAGAATCACAGAATGCTTTGGGTTGGAAGGGACCTTTAGAGCCCATCCAGCCCAGCCCCCTGCAGCGAGCAGGGACAGCTTTAACCAGAGCAGGGTGCTCAGAGCCCCATCCAGCCTGGCCTGGGATGTTTCTAGGGATGAGGCCTCCACCACCTCTCCGGGCAACCTGTTCCAGTGCTTCACCACCCTCATTGTAAAAAATTTCTTCCTTACATCCAGTCTAAATCTACCCTCCTTTAGTTTAAACCATTACTCCTTGTCCTGTCACAAGAGGCCTTGCTAAAAAGATTGCCCCCATCCTTCCTATAGCCCCCTTTAAGTACTGAAAGGCTGCAATAAGGTCTCCCCGCAGCCTTCTCTTCTCCAGGTTGAACAATCCCAACTCCCTCAGCCTAGCCTCGCAGGAGAGGTGCTCCAGCCCTCGGATCATTTTTGTGGCCCTCCTCTGGACCCGCTCCAGCAGGTCCATGTCCTTGTGCTGAAGGCTGCAGAGCTCGACGCAGTACTGCAGGTGGGGTCTCACCAGAGTGGAGCAGAGCAGCAGAATCCCCTCCCTCGCCCTGCTGGCCACGCTTCTTTTGATGCAGCCCAGGATTTGGTTGGCTTTCTGGGCTGCAAGCGCACATTGTTGGCTCATGTCCAGCTTTTCATCCACCAGTACCCCCAAGTCCTTCTCCGCAGGGCTGCTCTCAATCCCTCCATCCCCCAGCCTGTATTGGCATTGGGGGTTGCCCCGTCCCAGGTGCAGGACCTTGCACTTGGCCTTGTTGGACCTCATGAGGTTCACACAGACCCATCTCTCCAGCTTGTCCAGGTCCCTTTGGATGACATCTCATCCTTCTGGCGTGTCAACTGTGTCTGGTGTGTCATGGACTGTTGACCTGCCATAAGTCACTGGTGTAGAGCGAACTCTTCATACAGGAGCAAAAGAGAGGGGAAGAAGGGAAAAAAGACACCGCTAACCATACCTGGTAGAGCTTTATAATGTGTGGGTGATCAAGCATTTTCATTATCTGCACTTCTCGGTAGATCTTCTCCAGATTCACAGCATCCAGCTGAGATTTGTCAATGATTTTTATTGCTACCTGCAGACAAATAGCAAAAGTGAGATTAAAACTCCCCAATGTTTTCCTCATTAGTTTATCCTTGTTATAAAGGGAATAATGCAACTCCAGATAACTGGGGGCTTTCTTCTAGCTCAGAAATACACATCCCACACTTTAAAAAAAATACAGCAGCACAACATTAAACATGTCAGTAGTCCCACTAAGTGGCTGCAGGACTATCACCTACATCAGCATGTCAGAAAAAGAATGTTTTACAAGAAATGGAAGACACAGAACAGGAGATGGAGGCCAGAGCTCCAACAAGCCCAGGTACAGAATGCTCTTATATCAGGTGGGAACAACTGAGGACCCTTCATGGAGCAATATTACAAAGACAAAAATCTTCTTAAAAAGCCTAATGGTGTCCATTTCTGGAGTCAAGGTAGTCAATTTGAATCCCACAAATGCAAAATGATATTTTAAAAGAAAAAATGTTGGCTCAACACAAATAATCAAAACATGGTGGATCCATGTAGTTTCAACTGTTACATGCTTATTTTAACTATAATTAATATGCTGCTAGATAAGGGCATCTGCAGTTCACAAGTTCAGGGGAAAAAACCTCTGTACAGTATGTTTGTCAGTCACACCTTGCAAACAGATCTCAATTAGTTTAGAAAACAGATCTTGGTCCTACTGACCTTGTTTTTAGCCAATACCTGCAAAGTGAATTACCGATAAGTACACATGCTTAGGAGACTAAAAATTTCAAACAGAAGACATTTAGGAAAAAAAGAAAAAAATTAAACCAAGCAGAAAAATATAGCTGCTATAAAAACCATGCAAAGGATAGCAATACTAAAGAGTACTGAATATATAAATGGTGTTTATTCACCCTGAATATCATATTATTAGTGCTGAAGCAGGAGCAAACAATCTAAATCACAAAAAAGCTTCCAATTATAAGTGCATTTCACAAACTATTGAACTGTAGGAGACAGCTGCTATGCAGGAGACAAAAATCCACAGGAGGTGAACCTCATTATCTCCAGGAATGCTGATTATGGACCCACCTGAATTCAGAATTAACTATTTATTGACTTAATTTCAGTATGCTTTTGCTTGATAATCTCTTCAAAAGTCACTTGTCTTCGCCAACCACCAGAAAAATAAGATTCTGCTATGAGTGAATAAACTGATTTAGCCTTGTAATCAGTGAAAAGTTGTTTTCAAGATGCAGGATCCACTCATATAGCTGAAGCAGAAAAAGACTGTTTTCCAAAGCAAACAACCAATTTTTAAAAACTTTTTTCAAAACATAGGTGTGGGGTTTTTTTTAAACAATGTCCAATTAATGTAGAACTCACTGAAACTAGATTTATCAAAACCTAATACACATTTATAACAACAACAATATATACAGCCATTAGACAGAAAACAAGAAAAAAAAAGTTCACATCCCACAACTTTTTCACCATTAAGCAAGCGTGAGTTACTCCATAGCCTTTGTTCTTCAAAACATAACGCTGCACACTTTGGAAGAAGTGGTACCTAAAATGGTATTCAACCACTCCACACTGCCCTCCTCCTCCTCTCCAGCTCTCTGCAACTTTCTTCTGTCCTAGGATAACATACAACAATTTAGGGGATCATGATGCCCGATCTTTCCAAAACATGCTTCCCCCGTTGTCTTGTGCTAGCTATCGTATTTACAGCACTCTCCATAATGCATCTACTCTGTCCTCTTTCACATTACACTACACACTGAGAAGCACACAAGAATAGTGATGCTCAAGGTGGCAGGTCCTAAAAGATTACAGATCTCCCTTTCAAAAGTTTCCATCTTTTGACTATGAAGACACTATCTCTAAACCATGGAAACAAAACATGTGGATTACCTGCTTATGCTCCTATTTGTTACCCCCTCATCCTACTACCATTCCTTCCAACTACAATATTAATTTGCTGTCTTACACTTGGTATATGTATAAAACTTGATAATAAAGGCCTGGCTTCACACGTGCAAGGAATAAGGGACACGCAAAAGAACAGTACCATGCATGCGACTGGACTATGCAAATGCGTACTTCCCACTTGCCAGATTTGCACTCCCTTTGACTGCTCCCTACAGCAATTGCTCATTCTCTCAGCAGGTCCCCTTTCACTCGCTTATAAAGGCAGAACAGCAAGCTGCTTCCTTATTTGGGCTGATTATATGCCATGTGGCAGCAGAGGATGCAAACAATCATTCATGCAGCTTAAGAAAAACCACCACACAAAAATCGTACCTTTAAGTCTCACTGGCCTAATTTAAGATCACACCTAATAAAATGACTTCTGGTTATTGTTTATTTTTTGCAAGCACAATTTACTAGCCTAAGAAGAAATCACTTCACTAGAAAGTTACAAAATGTAAAAGTAATCAAACCAAACCACTAAAGCCAGACCCAGTTGTTATACATCAGGAAATATTTATTAAAAACAACTCGTGTCACATTTCTCCCCTTCCTCTAGATTATTTTATACTGTCTCTCTGGAATCAACCAGAGACACAAGCTGGTTTCTCCATTCTCCACATCTATCCCAGCTCATACCTGTTACTTGGGTGACCTCTGGATTAAGAGGAATGGATCTGACTATTTCTTATTTACAAACAAATGAAAAGATTAATCTGTAGCAATCTTGCCTTCCTATCACAAACTGGTAATACATCTTTCAGTCAAGGCACAAGGTATCTCCAATCTTGGACAGATCAGGTGTTCAGGAAAGTCTAAATGCCTCCATCAGTCTAGAGTAATGCAAAAAAATCCTGCTGCATTTTTTTGGTATTTAAAGTTTAATGGCAATCTAATTGGAATAGCAATTTACAGAGACAGCATCAGCCTCTCAGTAACTTGAGGTGTTTACAGTAGCTTCTTTCTTCTCCTCCTTCTTTCTTCACATAGACACCACAGTGTAGAAGCTTTACCTAAAACCTGCATCACTTGCAACTTTCAAGACCGCCTCCTTCCCTGGCTTTGGTTCATTTAATTTCACCTTGCAGTCACTGTGCATTTTCTTCCCATAGTTAGGTGTTTTACAAAGCTATCTTCAAATGCAAGCAAAAAAAAGTAACTTTCTCCTGTTTACTCTTCTTGCACATAGGAAATGTGTGCAGTACAGAAAAGTTAATAAAAGCAAAGCTATAGAGGACTTCAAAGAAAAAAGGTTAGGTCTAGCATAGAAGAGGAAAAAAAACCCAAAGAGGTGAAACTGCAGCAAAGCAATACATAAGAGGGATTTGGATGGGGGGTGGGGGAACAACAAAAAAACCCCAAAATACAACCAAAACCACCCAACAGCAGGCTGCTCTCTGGGGCTCATGCCGAACCTTTGTTTCGCTATCCATCACACCATCAGTTTGATTAGCACAAATATTTATACTTCCATACTTCTCACCCCCTCCTAGTGGGGAGGGGGAGAATTCTGCAGCTGCATGGCTTGCCAGTGCTACTTCTTCCACTGAAGCTTCACTCCCATCACCTTAGCCTAGTGAAAAATCTAGCTTTACAAGTACACTGACTCTTGGTGGTTTTTCCAGTATAGTTTGGCACACCAGTTTGCTCTGAAATCTTGCGTAGTCCTTTTACTGAAAGTACAAATATTTCAAATACAGCCTGTTAACACTTCCAAGCCTATCTACAAGTGTCTGCTGCCAACTTTCTCCAGAGATACCAGGCATTATTCTGAACACTGCAGTTCCTAGCTTCTAACATCCACACAGAGTTACAACAACAACAAAAAACCCCAAAACAAACAAAAAAATTATCAGTTTTAAACTTTGTTTTCCCAGATAACAAAAGTATCCATTTCCCTAGAAAAACCTAGGTAACTCATTTGTCCTTCTTCAGTTTTAAAGATTAAATCTATTTCCACTTCAATTTCTTAATAATCTACAGTGTCTACTGTACTTTTATGTTTTACAAGGTTAATAAGACTATACAATTATACAATCACTTCAGTTACTAAAAAGTAAGTAATTTTATATAATTTTAAAACATGCAGAAGACATTTTTCACCTTTACATGGTTAAAATCCTTGAATAGATCTTACGTCCTGAGCAACAACCAGTAAAGTTTCATTAGAGGAAAGAAGCATTTAAAAAAAGAATAATAAAAAAGAATGGGTCATATAAATTTGGGAAGCATGGCTACAAATCCTGCTATAATCTTCACTACACTTTCTGGCCAAGAACAGTGCTTCATGTTCCAATGTTTCCTACTTTCTTCCTTTTCCAGAAGTTTCCTACCCTATCTCTTTGCTGCACACATTTAGAAATAGAGCAATTCCCAAAGACCATTGAAAGACTGAAACCAAATCCTTCCTCTGGAAGTGTGGGAGCAAGAAAACAAGTCTTCAGGTCACACATTTCTTGGAGGAGAATGGCTCCAGAAAAATGCTCTTTCAATAGTTATGAAACATTTCCTTACCTCCCCGTACCACAAGTAAAAAGTGATTGTAGAACAAGTCACAGAAGTTTAACACTCCACAGAAGCACACAGTAACATTCTATATTGTCTATTCAATCACCTACCTACTCCCAAAATCATAACACTAACATGTATCACTGATGAAAGCATTCTGCCTTTATAGCTTTTGCGTCTGAAAAGATCTGTTTTGTTTCCACGCTGGGCATTCAGGTACAACAAGGCATCAAGGATTTGGATGAATACTTCCACAAAAATATTTTTATGACCATATCGCCAGATAATAATGACAGCATTAACAAAATGCTCTTTATTAAGTCAGTTAATACTGAACTCTTGCAGGCAACCACAGAGCTAGAAAAAAATGTTATATGTGACTTTGCGAATGTTGGAAAGCAAATTGCTTCAGAGCACTACAGAATGAGCCACTGTCTCAGCAGGCTACCTGCTATCTCTGTCATCACGTTAAGAGATGCATTTTGTGCTGCTGCATCCGTAATCTGTTCAAAAAAAGACAAACAAGACTTCTTTAGCTAGATCATTCAGTTGACAGCTATCACCAATATATTCATA